GGTACGCTCTTTATAGTGTCATACATTATTATTCTTTGGTGTCAAAATTTCTCCTTCTTCTCATTATTAGACAACAACTTTGTTTAAACTTTAAAATTTTAAATTAAGTATCAAACTTGTTCCCCCTTACTCTTTCTTTTGCTTGTTGTTAACATTATAAGTGTTGTTGTGAACAAGTAGCCCAAATGGGGATTTCTTCCTCTTTCAAGATACATATCTGAAGAAACTGCTGTCAAAAGGACCATAACTCGCTTTCAAATGCACCAAGTTCTAAAATTGCAGCAAGGAGAGGTACCCGTGCACAAAATTTTTCCTTCATTGGTGTTTCTGTTTCTGCTTAGTGCATACTTCTTCCAGTGGTGATATCATGTAGTCTCGGAGTCATTATTTAATCTGTTGTTCTGTTGATGGATGTTATTAGAATTTCACTTAAACATTCATTATTTTTTTAACCTTTAAATTTTAAACAGTTTTATCCAATATGTTTGCAGATATCTTTGCTAAGTGAATACAATCCACTTGATCTGTTCTCTGGATCAAAGGAAAGAACTTTTAAAGCTATCAATGATCTCTTCACTTCACCTCAAAACAATTTACGTGTATTTATGAACGGTTCTCTCATATTTGGTGGTCTGGGAGGTGGTGCCGAAAATACTAACATTTGTATTGCTAAAGCATTTGAAGATGCACTTAAGTCTGTCATTCGATCTGACGAAGGTCTGCGTACAGAGAACTTGCTTACTCTTGTTACTGAGGCTGTGCAAAAATCAGGAGTCATTGATCGGCTTCTGGAGGTTCAGAAGCTTGATAGTGTTGACATAGAAGGAGCCATCCATGCATATTATGATGTTACTCATCAGCAGTGTATGGTATGTAGACAATTGAGTGCAGAACAACGGAAAAGGTATACCTCTTTACATTCGGCTTCGTTGGATGAAAGCTTGAGAATTGTAAAGGACTTTCTAATAGCAGCAACTGCAAAAGACTGCAGCTTTATGATATGTTTTAGACCAAGGAAAGAGGGGGATTCTGGATCTGTATGCAATAACGTGTATCTTCAGTCAACTAAGCAAACCTTTGACTTCAAGGTAGGCAGCCCTTCACATTTTTATTATTTATTTATTTATTTTTATCTGATAGGCAGTGCATTACATGATTCATTTGGTTGCTCTGCTAGTAGTCTGAGGGCCTCATTTGAGAATGATGTTGATTTTTTTTGTGCAAAATAGAATAGAGTTCAAATCCAGTGGAATGTTGAACCATTCCAGAATGGATCATTGGTGAATGACAAAGTGATACAAATAAATAAATAATTGATTAGAGCTTAATAATAAATATACTAATTTTCTTAATAAAATCAAATGAAAAACCAATTAAATAAAACACTACAATTAAAAAAGAAAGTCTGAATTTTTTGGGTCTCTCTTTTCCTACTTGACAGCTTCATTCTTATGCCTTCCTCATATTCTACCAAATAAAGGATGTCACTGAAAGAAAAACAGCAGATTGAAAGATTTTATTTTCAATTGTTCCCAAGAGAAACTCGCTGATCATAGTGAGAAATCAAACAAAAATTAGATCCACGGGAGTGAAATGTTATGTTCAACCGTTGTTTTGATATACTTTTTCACCAAAATCATCCTTATAGAGCATATTACTACTGATAATAAATCACTCAAGAATATTGATAAACTCCTATGAAGTGGAAGAATTAGAATAAGATGGCAATGGAATAATTGAAATAGGAAAAAAAATTTGGGTTGGTTTGATTTTAGTTTTTTATTTAATGTTTTTAGTTTAACCTTTTAAAATTAGTATATTTAGTGTTTAATCCTTAATTTTTCATTTATTTATTTTATTATATTGTGACACTTCATAATTTATTGCTCTGGAGTGAGTGGACATCCTATTGTATTTAAACTAAAAAAGTTGTTTGGCATAAACTTATCACAAAAGGTATCTAAAATTACAAAAAAAATAAATAAAAAAATAGAGGCTATAAAATGATATCTGTAATACTTTACTGAATTCCTAACAGATGCTAAAGGAAAAATCCTCCTTCCAAAGGTTTCCCTGTTACAACTGAGGATGAGTTTTCAATGCTAGCAAATCTGAATGCTTCCCTCTCATATTACTTCAACTGCTCAACCACATCATTTTCTATAAATATTCTACTCACTTTGAGGCCGATCAAAAGGATAAATGTTGCAACCAAATAGGGTGTTTCTCAAAACTCAAAAGCACTGGAAGAAGCACCCTTACTGTCTTTGGTGTCATTTTTTATTGAACTGTAATTTGTGTCTGCTCTCATGAAGTACTAAAACCGAAAGCACATCAGTTGAAAATGGGGCTTTAATGTGTATGCACAGACCATATCTTGTGAACGACTTGATCACACTCACGATTTCATTTCTTATATTTATATGAAGCAAGTTTGAATTACTGCCTCCCTTAGCCACAATTATGATCATTGTATTATCTTTATCCTTATAAAACAATAAGTATGATGCTTGTTACATTTATATTTTCTTTCAACTGATATTTGACGTATATTAGGTGTATTTCATTGACTTGGATCTGAAGCGAATGAGTAAAATGGAAGAATATTATGAATTAGATAAGAAGATAGTGAGCTGCTACAAAGAAATGGCGAAAATGGACCATGGAAGAGATTTATGAACTTGCAACCATAACAAATTGCGTACCTAGATTTAGCAGTCTCTGTTATATAGGTAATACTTGGGAAGATTGAATTGGTAAGTATTGGCAATTTGTCAATATTATTTATCCTTCAGAAGGTTTTTTCTATGCATATCTTAAGTTTGGAAACTTATATTGTGCTTCATATAATGGTTCAATGTGGCTTTGCTTTCAATATCTTTATGATGGACTTGTTGAATTGGTTTGTGAAAGCTTTTATGTTAATACATATTGGACTCTTGGCTCCCTTATTATTTCTAAAATGTCTATATATTGTTTCTACACACACGGAGGCAGTAGATAAATTAAACGCTTTTGGTCCAGATCTTGTCTATTTTGATTTGTACATATTGGTGAAATTGGGAAAGTGATATGTCAATATTCTGTCAATTTTCCACAATAATACATTAACACTCAGGACACCTGTTTTTGCTTTGCAAATATCTTATCTCTAACTTTGCAATATAATGTTGTAAACAGTACTCAGAAAGTCTATGTTATAGACGGTGGCTTCAGCTCAGTTCTGGTTTTTCCTTTGGTCAGCCTAGTTTGGACGTGGCCTGACTGATAATCTCAGTGTGTCTACATTGAGCTCACAAGCCATTTCAAGGTTTTTCCCTTCTCACTCTTTTCCTTGTTTTTTGTCTCTAGTTCCAGTAGTTACAAAGGGACTTGTGTTGGTTGGATTATCAGAAGTGGTCATGCTTTTTCACCAGCATACTGACACATTCCTATCAAATGACTTTCATAATCAATTGTGACCACAATAATTTTTATTTTAAATTTATTTCATGACAATATTTAAATAGCGCACTGAAGCACCACTATAGCCTCAGCGCTGCCCCTGAACACTAAAGGGTTGCCGTAATGAAGCAGTTTAGAGTAGCGGCTGTAGTGGACCAAATAGGGGCCCCAGTGGCACTATTGTTTGATTCCAAAATGCCCCATAAACGGAGACATTAGAGCTTTTCTGGAGGTTATTTTTGTGATCTCAATCCTCAGAAATGAAAATTGCAGCTGTAATAGTTGTAAAAATGGTAAGAAAGCTCGGATTCAGAAGATGGTGTTGAAAAGGAAATTTAGGCTTTTTCGGGGTGCTATTTTTGTTGGAATTTACTTGTTTGACATCCTCGAAATTTTATTGATGATTATGAATGTCATTAATTTTGAGCTTTTTTTATTAATTAAAATTTATATGCCTACACACGCACCCTCTGTAAATTATATAGAAACTTTCAAAATAGTGGTTACTCACTAGCTTGCTATAGCGTTTTTTGGCCCGCGTACACATTGCTATTTGTAATTTGAAATACAACTTGAAGAGTACTCCTTGTGGAATATTGATAGAACCATGGATAGAACCATTTGCCTTTTGATATTAGAACTCACCCCCTCTTAAATTAAATGTATGCATTTTTGTTTTTCACCGATTATAAGGTATGTCTTTTGGGGTATATAGCATGGGTTTGATTGTCATATGATGTGATTTGTTAACTGTTGAGAATTTGTTTACTGAACCCAGGAATCTGGGTGGAGTCGAATAATTGTTGTGAATATTAATTGGAGTTTGTTTTTGTGAATATTTAGTTTCTGCATTTTGTTCGCCGGGGAGGGTACATATAGGTCGGACCCTATCCGATTACTATTTATTACTGGTTGTTTAGTTCCCTATTAGCATTTCTGCTGCCACTTTAGTTTTCAGCCCAACTTGTACGGTGGAACTTGATGAACTAGACGTACCAAATCTTAATTTTTGTTTCTGCAAGTGCTTTTCTTACAGATTAATTCTAAACTCCCAAACGGCGTCTAATTTTCATTGTACCCTACTTTCGCATTGTAGCACTCTTGCCATGTGGAAATTATGTCTTCACTTCTAAATTCATTTATCCTTAATGACACGCTTAAGTACTATTTACGATTTGCTCATTTTGGTTTAGACTCTCTCTGCTTTTGGTTAGAAAGTACCAACATGTCTGACGGGCTTATGTACTGCAGAAATCTAGCGTCAGTAGAACTGCTCCGTTCAAGGTGCAGGCAAAAGCAACTTGTAAAACCACGACTACGGCCTCAATTTGTACGGAATCATGGTGACTATGACTGAAGAACCCAATTCAATGAAGATCATCATGGTCCGAAGATTATCAGGATTTGAGTACAAGCGTTCTCAGGTAAAAGATGATGGATGAGATAAACGTTGGTTTCATGTCAGAGATGCGATGTAATGTAGTTAATGTTTCATTATGTAATTAACTCAAGTCTAATCGGTGTTGTACCATTATGAATCTTTCTGCCAAGCAAAATAATGTTTATGTTCGTTCATTGTGATTTTTTTATTCTAACATGATGTCATGAAAATTTACTCGGAAAATGACAGAAATGAAAACCAATATTTCCCTGCAATTTTATACATCATCATTGCCCGTCAATTGGTTCCCATATAATGTATATATTTGTGGAGGGAGAGAAGTATGATACTGAAACCACCCATCGAACAACTCGACCATGCACGGTGCCTTCTTTACCAGCAACCCTTTCTCTGCATTTCAAACAGATAGAACACAATTGTAAGAGTCCCCATGCACGACGTCACCATAAGTAGAACTTCATCTAAACAAGATGCAAACATCATCGACTTGCCTTGAATTTCTCTCTTTCCTGACTGTCTATGTGTGCCATAAGTTCTTCTTGTTTTATCAAAGCCTCGTATAAAGCCTGTTTACGAAGTTAAACACACCAGTTTATAAATATACACAAAAATTGTTGAACATGATGTCACACACACCAAAAGTTTAAAAAGTGATTCACAAATAGATATAAACCCTTTTTGTAGTTATCAACTCTGCTTCCAATGCATCCACACGATAAACTGCAGCATTGAGCAGCTCTTCTTTCTCATACGGCATCACATTAGGCTTTGACTGCAGCATGTCAACCTTCTCTTCGAGCTCCCCGAGGCGTTTTAAGGTAGATGAGGAAAGGTTTGTCGTTGTGAATCCGGGAGCACGTAAAGGAGGACGACAATCCTCCTTATTTGTTGAATCAACAGTCATGTTAAGAACATTTGAAGCAGAACCAGATTCTGAGTACCGTATTCCCTTGGTCACACGAAATGCTATTGAACGAGCAAAAGTATAAAGAGCCAAAATGATGCCAGCTGTAACATTCAGGAGATTCTTCACATTTCAGTACTCGAAAGAAAAAATATTCAGCAATCAAATCTAAGTCGATATATAAATTTATTTATCTTTGTATCGTAAATTAAGTTTTATTTCACATGCAAGAATTAAAGTAGTTTGACGTACTTTTTTCTCTCTTCGGAATGGTAGGTAGTAAAGTACAGATTCAATGAACGCGAAAAATGTGAAGAAAAATAATACCAAACAGAACTTTGTGAAAGGGATAGTTATTGAACTGGAATTGCAAGTTTCTCATTCCTTAAGATATTTTCTGTATGCCAACGTAGAAATTAATTATGACAGATATTTTGAAAATGTCATTTGTTGGTTCAGTTAAAGAAAAAACAAATGAGTGTCTACATCCATGCCAGCAGGTTTTAAGTAACAATAATATCCATTCTCAGCTAACAATAATGACATGTCAAAACCAATAATTGTGCATGAACTATATAACCTGTTGAGCAAAGTAGTTTTCTCGATGTTGCTTGTTTCTCCATTGATCTAACAACAATGGCCTTGTCAACCATGGGAACATACTCAACTAAGCGATCACCATCACTAGCCTTACCAACCAGTCTTGCCTGATAAACGTAAAGTCACTTAAAATTAAATTTATTGAAACATTTTTAATCTTGCAACCTCAATATCAGTATCAATGTATCATGATCACTCACTTCTTCATAGACAGGAGTTAATATAGGGCTAATACAGGTCCCACATGCTTTGGGAGAAGCAATATCTTCAACTTCAGATCCTGATTCTCCTGTAGATGTATCACTACCACCTCTAATCTGTTTTCTCAAAAGCCCAGAATCAAAATAAAGACAAGACTTTGTTAATATAACATCTGAAAATTCCAAACTTACAAAATTTTCAGGGTTCAAGATGGTAATGGAAGATTTACCATTGGATAAGATATCTTGTCACATTTAATCACTTTCCCCTCGTCGTTGGAAACAGTTACTATTTGTTTAGAACATCCCATTTCACCACTAAGAACCATCTGCATGCCCAAAATTATTCTAGTTGAATCACAGACTCAGTAAGATACAAAGTAGAACCAAAAACATGAGAGAGCTAGTTAAAATTTATTCATTTCAGCACTCACCTTTAAAATGTTTGGGTCTTGCCACGGTCCTTTATCTGACTTCATACAACCACCTTGATCAACACAAGTGCACATACCACCAAGAAATTCTGGAAGCTCGCTGCAAAGCTTACCATTAGTCAGAATTCTCAAATAACAAGTTGATTGAGAAATCACTCCATTACCAGAATTGAATGTACAGTTACCTCTCGTCTATAATCTCAAGTAGTTTACTCTGGAACTTATTTCCAAGAACCTAATGGAACATTCAAGAGTCAATTAAAACCTATACCTAAGTTATCTCCGAGCCAAAAATATGGAAGGTTAATCGTTAACAATAAATCAAAATTGTCACATACATGGATCTTTGAAGTGGTTTTGGGATCAAGAAATGTTTTCACAGTGTTCCAGAGCATCTTAAAACCAGGACCAGCATTGATGATGAACATTTGACAGAGTGTCTGCACAGTAGTATCATTTTGAGAATAAAAATTAGAAGCACTAGATGTATGAACAAAAAGAAAATTTAATGAAAAAAAATGAAGATAAAACCTACATACTTCAGGATAGTAATCACCATCAATCTTCTGCAGACGGGTGATCAGCTCCCGTGCAGACTTTGTTAGGTTTTTGAAGCCCTGGAAAATACAAGACAGCATATTATTACAAACTCCAACCTTAATTTTTTATAAACTTCAAGTTAAAACGGTGTTTAGAAAACATTAATTAGCCATTTACATAAAACCTACCACGCCTTGAACATCCAAAATAGTTGTACTTGAGTCTATGTGTCTCTTTGCAGCTATAGAACAAGCCGGAAACTTAACAGCAAAAGCTTTCTCAAAACTCTGAACATGGTATCTCAAATACCTTTCCAAGGTAGTTACTTGCATAAGCTTATTGGGATCAACTTTCCCTAGCCTCTCAATATAAACAGGCCTTCCTTCCTTATCCACGCCATGATAGCCATGTGGGTAGTATTTCAGAACCTCATTCAACTCCTTGAATTCAAAATCCTACACGGCAGAAACCATAGTGTAGTATACATCAACCACAGGTTTGAATAAATTAATCAATGTTCAGATCGTGAAATCGAATACACAATGCCTCACCTCCATTATTGTATCTGTTCCATATTCTTTCCTCCATTGGATCATGTTGGCCCACATGTGCTTCGCTTTCTCAATATCAAACTTCCTTGCTTTCAAGAATCTGCAAGAAATGTGTTAATAAGTAAATTTCCTGTGTAAGAAGTTTATCCACAGAAAAATATGCAAAAGAAAAAACCCAGTTAAAGTGTTTGGGACCTCAATAGCATATGGTAGTCATCGTGTATTGGAGGTAGCAAGTTATCCAACACAAGTGCCTGTCGAAATGCATCCACTGCTTGAAGCTCTTTAACATCTCGAACATCCTCAATGGAGAGGGAATTGCTCCTGCTGCTACAGCCTTTTCTGCTTCTTTTCTTCTTAAAAGAATGTCTGAATTTGGTTGATGCATTTAGTGCTTTCTTTTTCAGACTTCCAATTCTTGTCCACCGATCATCCTCTGAATTATTCTCGAAACTCAGTTTCCTCTCTCTTCTTTCATCCAATCCTTCAAAGCCTAATCAAAATAACAAAAAACTCTGAACACTAAAAATTTCATACAGAACTAACAATTTTTGGCAAGTATCAAATCCGCGGAAGTTAAATTCCATTCAATCACACTCGACTAGCTAATCTACACCTTAAAATCTAAAAGAAACGAAATCTTTATACAAATTCTTAACCAAGAAACATCGAAATAACGATGATAAAACACAATTCGAAACAAGAAAGAAAAGGAGAGTTTTTTAGTTACTCACAGAGGTTGGTTGACATGTCAACGAAGACAGAGTGCAGGTGAAACAGAAATCAAAGACAGATAAATCTGGAAACTTATAACGTTTTTGTTTTTTTTGTTTTGGGGTGAATGACACGTAAGTTGGTTCACTCCTTTTCGGAGTGTTCGTTAATAATGAAGCGGACACACTGAGTGTCGGCGGAAGACAAAATTAATGGTACAGTAAATTTGGATACAACATTATATTCTCAGAAACAATGGAAATCTAATGAACAAATTGATACATGAATCTATCCTATATATGCTTCACCTCATTCACATGTAAATTATCTCCAATTTTTCAGACGTTATTTTCCTAACATTGCCTTGCTGGGTCCACCATTTATGAGTTCATGATGTGCAACTTGGCGCCAATTTTACCTCCCTCTTTAACTTCTTCATTTACTTATTTTAATTCTTATTTTGGTTTCCCTTTATCCTTCACCGGGAATACAGAAAGCAACGTGACCTGAGTAAAACTATATAAAGAAGTAAAATCATGTTTGTCCAAAAAACTTTAAGATAATGAATTAAAAAGTATTTCACATTTATTATTCAGTAGTGTTCTATTTTCTCATATTTTTAAATATAGAACTCGGATTAATACGTGAATTCTTAACAAAAAATCACTTCCAACTTATTGTCAAATGATTTTCTAATTTTGATTGAATTATTTTATAAACATTTATTCATAAAATCAATTATACTTCTACCAAAAACGTTTATTATTCACGAAAAAGAAAATATCTTTGTTATACACTTTTCGTCATACGGTCTTTTCTATCAAGCATTACTAAAACATCATTTTATTTTATCATATATTCTTTATAACAATAAAAATGTCAAAGCTGTTGAATACTTAAACAGTAAATTTTAATATTCTGAAAATATCAAGCATTAGTACCTAAAGAGTGTAGATAAGTTTAAAAAATAGGTAAAATTTTGAATTGAAAATACAACCAGAACTGTTGTTTAATTTAATCCAATAATTAAAAGTAAGTGCTCCCATTATTATCAATAAAACTGATTACACTTTTTTTTTTGTATTGAATAAAAAGAAGTCAAAGGTTTCAGTAGAAATTTAGAAGAATCTAATCCGAATTTTAAATGTCGGTCAGGGAACAATTTTAATCTTTTATTATGCCCACAAATTTCTTCCTTTTTTTTCTAATATATTAAAATTCCCATTAATGCTCTTATTCGTATAGGCCCATTAGGGAATCATCAAACCAAAACATTCCTAGGCCAGGCCCACTCATAACTTTAAATTTCTAATATTTCCACTGGGTCATTCTCACACTTTTTTTTTTCTTTATAAAAATTATTCCATTTTTTGTCTGCTGTGCATCGATCACGGTGGAAATGCGATTTTGGCAATGCCATTTCTGTAAAGAACAAAGGATGTGAACTCAACAAAATGAGTATTTGAATAAAAAAGTACTTTTAATGCAATGTGCAAATAAATATACGGCCCATTCACTATTTACACGCCTTAGTTTAATATTCGCATCACTCGCTTTAAAATTAACATTGACGGAAATTAGTTTTCATATGTATGATTATGCGATAAAAAAGTAGGTTTTGTTATACGTGTAGATCCAAAGCACGACAGAATATTAGTTTTTCTTTGTGTAATCATAAACAAAACTCTAAAAATTAGTGTTTTTTTTATGCATTTAACAAAAAGATTCAATTTTTGTAATATTATTTACGTGAGAGAAAAAACAATTAAATTATTTTAGTAAGGGACTTAGGGTAGAAAAAAATATTAAATATTCTATTATGATTAAACTTGAAAATATTTCGTTCTTAAAAGATATCATTTGTAAGTAATCCTATAGATATTTAAAATTAAATAAATAGATTTTAACTATTTTTTTTTAAAATGATTTGTATAATTTAACATATATCTATTCATGTAAATAAGGAAGATGGTAAATACGAGTTAAGGTTGTAGGATAATTTTGTAATGTCACAAATTAATAAAACTTTCGGGTGAAAATAGTAAAACTGGGGGAGGGAAGGTTGAGAATAACAAATCCAAGAGAATGTTCCAATAAATGGCTTTGCTTTTCGGGCTTTTACTTTCAGCATTCCACAGTTTCTTCGAGCAACTAGCAAATTTTTTAAATTATATTTTATCTTGTATAAAAGTGACTTTTTAATTATATGTTTCAGCAATTTTTTGGAATAAGTTTCTCAAAATTCTAAAAATAAAATTTTTAGAACGAAGTTTCTGAAATAAAATTAGAAGCTATAAAATGTATTTTGAAAGAAAAAACATTTTTGAATGTACGTGATATTTTAAAATGAATTTTCAGGAATATCTCACATAAGATCTATTCCTTCCTCTCGAAACCCATAAAATATATGTTGTGGAGTGGTTTTTTCTTTGTTTTACATATGTTTTTAGTTTTTTAATTTTGATGCAAAATTAAAAATTGTCTTTGTCCCCAAAATTTTTTATAATTTAATCTATAAACTTAAAAAAATAAACATATAAATTTTTTTTAATTTAATTATATTAAAGTTTTTCATATATCAATTGTATTTTATGATGATCTTTGAGTTTATACCTTTTAATATATTTTAATTCAAATATCGATATAAAATATCATTTAACAAATATAAAAAACATTAATATTATTTAATTAAAATAACTATATTAATTTATTGTTAAAATTTTGAAACAAAATACATACAAATTTAAAAGAAAAACGAATTTCAATTTAACGTTTACATTTTTAACATTTTTTTTTGTGTTTTCATTTTTCTCTTTCTTTGTAGTGTTCTTTCCTTTTTCCTTCACAATTGTAATAATGAAAGTGATTATGATGACAACAGCTATATGTTGTACTAATGAAAAGTAATTTAATCTTTTTATATGTTTGTGACGATGAAGTTAATAAATGAGGGGGTGCAGAAAGAAATAACATGGTCAAGGAAATAGGCGGAATTTATGATTTCTTGTTCATTTGGATAGACGTCCCTTCAGAAAAATAAAGCTTACAAGACTAGAGACATCAATCACTCCTTTGAAATATTTGTGATATCTCCATATAAGACATTTGTGATGTATGTTATATTTTAGATTTGAAAAGATTTGGATTCTTTTTGTGTATGATTAATAGAATATCATCACCTTCAAAGAAAATATATATATATATAATTGGTGAGTTTTTTAATCAATATATTTGATAAAAACTATACCTTAATTATCTAATATGATTTTGTAATATTGGGGACTACCATTTATACCCAGATGAATAATTAGAACACCAAAAAATGCATACCCAGATGAGTTTTATAATTTTAGTTCAATTTCATGCTATTTTATGTACTCAGCAGAATAATTTAGATTTCAGTCCACCACTCACTATGGGATATAAATATACCTTTTGGGATTATGTTCATGTAGAGCATTTGAATCAAAATATAACTACACCCTTTATTTTAAAATATTCATTGTATATACTTTATCTATTAATTAATTAATTAATTGATGCCCAAGTGATGAGTGAAAGGCACTTCAATTACCACATATCTAGGCGTGGCATATTTTAAAATGATTTTTTCAATTATTTATGATAACGTAATTTGTATTTTATTTCTGGTATAATATATGTTTTTGTAATTTTTATTATTATAAAATATCTATTAATTTGCTTATATAGTATCTATTGTTAAAGAGTAATGATGTTTATGATATAAACACCATTCTTCATGAAAAAATTCTTAAACTAAATTTCAACAAAAGATAATTAATGTTGATGATAACATTTTAGTGAATGTAGGTCTAAACATTACAAAATTGCCAGGTCATCACTAAGTTATTTCAAATGTTAATTATAAAAATCAAATTGATATTATTAAAACGAAATAAAATTATATTCATGAAATAGAAAACTACTTAGGTGAAATTATAAGTATTAAAGTGTGTATAATGGATATTTTTTGTGTTGATCTGAAATCCAAAACACAAGTGGTCTTTTGACAATTTGAGCAATCACTTAACAATCAGTTTTAGAGATAACATTATTATTAAGAAAATAAACTTTTATATTTATTAAAAAAACAGAAAAAAAGTGTAAAAATCTATTAGACATTAAAATATCGTTATATTATCCAAAATTGTTGATGTAACAAGGTAGTTTGATAATATGGTAGGAATGATGATGAGCATGACCAAAATCATGGTGGAGGACTCAACTATCATTACCATTTTCACCACTATTTATCTTTCATATAAAGCCCCCTTTTGATTCAAATTTCCAAAACAAAATACAATTTCATTTCAATTCAAATATATACTTTAATCAAAATAAATTAATGGTCAGAATAATATATATAATTTAAAATATATTAGATTTATTGTCCATAACCAACTGTCGTCGGTTATATTATTATTGTCACGCGCAGGTAAAGTTTGGGTGGGATTTTGGCAGTACATTGCAGTAACGACGTATTGCATCGCACTGCCAAAATATGAAATAAAATATAATTTTTTTGAGTAACAAGTATATAATTGTTTCAGTATTCTTTTACCACAGAAAGTGTGCATCAACTGAAAACATAGTTCAATAAAAAAAATAAAAAAAATCTATAAAGCATAGCTTCATGGTTGGATTAGGTGCGTGTGACGTTTACTTAAAATATGTTTTTAATTAAATTATCAAATATTTAAAGACGAGGATAGAATAGAATGACTACGCCTGAGTTATTATTTCAAAAGATAGGAGTCTCCTTTTTATCTTAGTCAAAACAATTATCTGAAATCATGACACTTTTATGTCTTTATTAAATAGTATCACGTTCAAAGTGTAGGTGTAAAAACAATCAATATACAAGT